CAATGTGGCTTGGTATTAAGATATTGATGACAACAATAAAAGACAGTTGATGTGAACTGTTCAAGTCTTTTGTTTGAAACTGGTAGGAGATCACTTGTTTGTTTAGTGAGGTTTGCAAACTAGAATTTTGTGTCGAAATCACTGTCAGTTCATGAAGTATCACAAATTTTCAGACTTGTAGATAATAATTGCATTTGAATGGGAGTCAAATCTACCTTGGAATAACTGAAAACATATTTTTCTGGTGCTTATGAAAAACGAGTATGTTTGTCTGATGGTTTAAGGCATCTCATCAACTTACCTTCGTCGTTACTTTCTCTTGTTCAAAAGTTTGTTACGTAACTATCTGCTATTCATGATTTCGATTTTCTAGCTTACTAATAAAATTATACACTATGGTTTAATAATAAACTGTTATTACGTTTATTATATATAAATACGATTGTATAGCTTTAGAAAAACAAGTTTTGTCAACCTGTCCTTGATATTTTGCAACACTACTTCACTAAGCAGTAAATATAGCCTTCTATATATTCTAGGTTGAATTTGATTTAGCGAAACGTGAAGCAAACAGTTGATTAGATCACAGAGATCAGTTATTACAACCTGATGTCGTGCTCGAATTGTGTTCTCTGAGCTAGATTGTTGAATTGTCTAATCGTTGTTTAATCTCAGAAGCACCTACAACTGAAGAAATAAACGACTGTGTCACTAACTTATCAAAAAACTACTAACAAAAATGGAGGGACTTCTTTCTTCAAAAAGGATTGAATTACAACACAGGAGATGCTACGAAACCAGAATTCTTTGCTGCATTAGAATCATCACTTAGAACATCAGGATTAAGTGAGTGCATTCAACAAGAAATACACCAAACAATCATACCGCCAACCAGGCAGAAGAGACATCGTGCTCAAATGAACACTCAAAAACAGAAAACATTAAGAAGACCGACAAATAGGAAAGACATCGTTATATTTCCAGCAGACAAAGGACGCATAACCTTAGTCATAGACGAAGAAGACTATATCAAAAAGGCAGAGGAATTATTCAAAGATGAAAATGTATATCAACCACTTGAAACCAACCCTATCCAAAAGTTCGACAACCAAATCAACAAAACCTTGAACAAACTCTTCAAAGCAAAAGAAGTAACAAAGCAAGACAAATGGAGTATAAAACCAAATGGACCTGTCCTTCCTCAGTTCTGTGTCAGACTAAAACTACGAAAACCCGGTATCCCTCTACGACCAATAGTCTCACTTCCAGGGACTCCAATATACTACATATCAAGAGAACTTTCGAGAAAACTGAGATATCTCGTTCAATTAAGCGAACATTACATCAAGTCACCAATGAAACACTTAGAAAAGATCAAAAACATTAACGTAGAAAGCGACAAATTAATGGTATCCTTCGATGTCACAGCACTATATACATAGATCGAATCCCAACTGGCCAAGAAAACTATGTCCATCCTGCTCAATGAAGACAAAAGCATTTCAGAATACACAAAACTCAAATGTTCAACTCTGATGGATCTCATCGACCTTCGTCGGACAACATACTTCCTATTCAACTGCAAGATATACAAACCGATGAAAGGAACCCCAATGGGATCACCGATATCCGGATTAAAGGCAGAAGCAATGATGTAGAGATAGAAGCCATTATTGTACCTGTGATCAAACGAAAAATCTGAATTCGCTATGTGGACGACACTTTTGTTATCATTAAGAAAGATGATATAGAAAACACTCACAGTTTGATCAACAACATTTTCAACGACATCAAATTCATAATGCAGAAGTCAAACAACCAATCGCTATTCCTGGATGCTTTAGTCAGTAGGACAAATGCTGGAAAGCTGGAAACCCAAGTCTTCAGGAAGCCAACGCACACTGACCAAATCCTCAACTACATTGGCAACAACCAAACAACACACAAAATCAGTTGCATGCAGACTCTATTCAAAAGAGCCAGAACACACTGCAGTACAACAACGTCACAGAGAAACGAACAAAATTCCTTGATTTCCAACATAAAGAAGAACGGCTACCCACAAAACCTTATCACAAGATGCCTATCCCGTACATCATCAACTACAAAGTCATCGACAAAAATCAATAAACACATCATCCTACACTACATAGAAAATATATCAGAAATCATGACGAGTTTGCTGAAACCATTTGGGATTGATGTGGCTCATAAGCCAAACGACTTCCTCCAAATCCCATTATGCAAACCAAATGTGTGACAACCAAAGGAGACAAACTGAATATCATTTACAAAATCAACTGCAATAACTGTGTTCAACACTACATTAGACAAAGTGATCGCCCTCCTCACCTCCGTCTACATGAACATCGATTGACCATTGAACGTCACGACATTCAATAACTCATTTCAATGCATGTGGATAATTATGAACATGAATTCAATTTCGACAATGTAGGAATTTCGGACGTAGCGAGTGAACACGAGGAATATCAGAGAATTCCTAGAAGCTTGGTATTCATGTCAGTCAGATAGTCAGTCATTCAGCAATGAACAGATGTGTAGACATAGACTCAGTCTACTAAACAATAAGGAAAATGATGGACGACAGGAAGGTCAGAGTTGAAGCAGAGGAACAGCCAACAGGAGAATGACACAACCAATCACAAACCACATCGTCAGAGCAAGGCACTAAATCACTCATGGAGAGATATTGACAGCTCACTTCAAAGTGAAGTTGGTGCTGATGATGTTGTCTAGCAAGACGATGAAAGCTTCATGATTAAACAGCCCAGCTCAAAGAACACAATACGACGATTACCATTCACCTGAGCTACAAATATTCTCCACTACTTCAGAATCTAATTTGTATATAGCTACAACTTTTATAATTAAAGCAGTGAATGCAGATCACTTCAGCTCATTTTTCTTGATATACAATTGTAGGTAAATTTGCTCAGTTGTCTCCATTCATCGGAAAATGTTTGAATTTATAGAAAATGAGAGATAATTCTGGGAATAAAATTTTCTTGTTCGATAATATCATTTTCTAAAGTACAATAATATTTTTATATATCATAAACATATAACAGTCTATTATTAAACAATAGTGTATAATTGGATGACTAAACCGGAGTGTGTTCAGAACAAGTTGCCGCTTTGAGCCACCTCAATGTGTGTCAACAAGTCCACTTTCTTCTGTGCAGCTAGTTATATAGACCGCACAAAGCGCGCACTTTCCGAACGTATTTCCGAGCATTGTCCTGCATAGCTGTTGAGGGGAGAATGTAAGTCAATTAAGAGTTCAATTTTGAACATTTGGTCAACTCTGGATATTCAGGTCCACCAGAGTCCACCCAAGTCCTCAATCAGTGTCATTTATACAGTCAAATCGAGTAATTCAAAAGGAGTACGCCTTTGACAGTTGTACGCAGAAGAAGCATTGGCAATTCATCAACTCCAAGCTGATCTCTGTGTACAGAAACGTTTGTCCAATCTCTTGTCTTATCATGGTTTTTACACTTTCATATTTTTTCGATTTCATTATAATTAGTTAGTTTATTGTTGTCACCTTCATTATGACTCTTGTCTCATTCTTCACCTTCTTTACATCTACCTATCAAGTGGATACTCAGTATTCGTATTTCTTACCTACCAAAAATTCTCTACCAATTGTCAAACTCCTTGCCTTTCGTCGTTATTTCCACTGTCTAAGAGATTTATATGCAACTACTTTGCATTCTTGATTTCGGCTTTTTAGCACTTGATTAATGTAGTTATACCGTATTGTTTAATAATGGACTGTTATATGTTCATGATATAGAAAAGTACGATTGTACAGCTTAAGTGACCAATTTTCTATCTACCATTACTTACATGTCACTAAAGTTTCATTGATGGTTCTGATTGAGTAACAGAATCAACCTAACAACTACTTCATAAATATTATTTCATCCACCTTCTCGTTTAGAAGCTGATTTAAAATAATATCAGTATGCATATTTGTATAAGTTATTGAAAGCAATTTAAAACAATTAGTTCCCAGTTCAGTACAAGCAAACGTTAGTAAGGTGCTTATTCAGCAGCATTCAACGAATATGCATCGAGGATACTTTAGAAGATGAAAGAGGAACACTGAACGATATTTTATTGGAAAATAACTATCCATCAACATTTATCAGGCGGAACAAAATTATCAGAGCGTCAAAACTAGACCTTCAGTCTGTCCTAAAGAAGGATGTCTTCATCAGCCTTCCGTGCAAAGGTGACTCTCATAGTGCAATCCTTAAGCAGAGACTTAACGCTGCTGTTAGAAGGACTTATTATGCAGCCAGGGTCCGAGTAATCGAAACCACGAAGCCCATATATTCCCGCAAACCCCTACAGCATGTGAACGATAATGTCACATACCATTGTATCTACCAATTCAAATATGCTTGTGGTGACACATACATAGGGAGGACTAGTAGATCCATGCAAGTAAGGACCTCGGAACATATTCCAAAGTGGCTCCAGAAGCAAATTAAATCACCTGAACCCACAAATGTTGGCTTCAGACGCCAAACATATTGTTGAGACAGGCCACAGGATTGATATGGCTACTTCCTTTACACCTATTTACAAGACATATTGGGGAGGGATCCTGAAATTTGTTGAAGCCTTAGCTATTAGGAAGTTGAAACCACCTTTGTATGTTAAGAAACAATTCTTTGTCACATTAAACCTTCTTTGGTAAATACAACTATTGAAAAACCAAGTTCGATGTACTATTATTTTTTCGCTCTATTGATTTTCATTGTTATTCGGCCTTCAATTCAGCCTTCCTACCTGACCTCTTTTGATTTTCTCACCCCTTATCTTTATGAGTTTTTTATATAAATACCTATGACAAGTATATTTGTGATTAGATAGTTCGAAATGTGTTGCGCATATACATTATACGGTTCAGACAATTTACGTTCTTCTTATTGCTTATTGAAAGTAAGTTAAGAATCGCTTTGCTTCTGCATTGTATTTATTTTACTCTTCATATCGGCGTTTTTTAATTATTTTATTTATTATCAAATTAACTTACACAACAGCATAAAAGTAGAATTGTGAAATTAAACTAATCATATATATATATATGTCAGTTTATTTTGAAGATTATTTATTCATTTTCTGGGGATTCTTTTTTATTTGGTGATGATGGTTCTACAGATGTGTTTACTTCATCAGATGGTATGTCTTCTGAATGAATTAGTGTTGTACCAACAGCTGTATCTTCTAGATTAGTTTGATCTTCATCATCATCATCATTCACTTTGCCATCATTATTATCTGATTGATTATGTTTTATATAATCTTGTTGGTCATCTTCTTGATGTTCATGATCAGAGCTGCTGATCTCTTTAATTTTATATGACTTTTTTATATTTGTCTTTTTACTGATACCAACTTTATTATTTTCATGTAGTTTTGTTAAATAAGCCTTTTCATTAGCTAGTGCTAGTCGTCGAATATTACTTATACATCCAGCACTTGCTGTCTGAAGTTCTGGATCCTGAAAACAGAAAAGAAAATAGTTGAGTTACTAATGTAACATTTTCTTAAATAACAACAATTTCAATAACGTTCTCAGAGAGTTGCATCAAAAGACTCAAAATTTTTATGTGCTTTAATCTTTGGTTAATCTACTAATTTCTAGGTGAATATTTGGATCTCAAAGTTAGAACTTTTCTGCTAGCAAAGGTCATCAAAGTAAACTACAAGATATGGGTTATCACTATTTCGATACATACTGAACTTTATATACCTTGATTGACTTTTTTAAGCGCATAGCTACTGAAGAGAAAGAAATGCCACACGGTGATAGACATCATAGATGTGAAATTCAACAAAATCCTGGACATTCCATAACAAGACCTTATATTAAACGTTTCTTTGTTTCAGCCCATAAACTAACAATACAAACTCATTAAATAGTGAACTAAACAGTCCAACAACTGTAATCAAAGATAATGATCAAACTTATATAAACCCATACTGAAAGAACAAGTATTTCAGCGAAAATTATGATTTTAATGCCAGGGATCCAGGCACAGTGTGTCCCAGTAACTGCTTCCAATTTTCTAACATTATATTTGGTAGCCTACCGATGAACCTTGACTCAGGGTAGAGAGTCAAAAATAAGGTTTAGATGACAGTGATTTGCATTCATGAATAGATAATTGAATGATTTTTGCATAATAACTGAACACCTAGCTTTCTTCTTCCAGATTAGAATCATAGTTTTGAAACCTCAATATTTTCTTATTGGCCAAGGTATTCAACCAAGAAATGGCTTATACTTCACAACATATCATTCAAACGTGATGTATCTCAGGTTAAACACTATTGAAATTAAGTGTATAGTTTAAAAACCGAAAATTAGGTCAGTGGATCCGCGGAAACTAGCGGAGAATACATTTATATTGCGTGTGCCTAACCACCATCTGCCTCTTTACGTGTTCTTAGCTGAAGTAGAAATAAGGTGCAAGAAAGTTTACTTTTATGAAATAAAAAAATGACATGAATTGACAAGGCTCTGAATGACTATCTGAGCAACGCACTGAAGGATAGGCTGGTTAAGTGAGACCTACAAGAAAACTAACACTCTCAGTTGTGTCCACATGAAGAGATGGATTATATCAATCCATGTAAAAAGATGAATCCAGTTCTCAGTATGTTACTAGACTTCAGTTATTTTCTCCATCTCTTCCTGTCTGATGTTTGTTTAGTTTAGCGTCTCTATTCTCTGTTTTAAATCAAAATAATTAGTTAACTTAAAGCTTGAGTAATTTCTAATAAGATGTAATATTGAAGTTTGACTTATAAGTCAGAAGATCTAAATAAGTAATGCTCGCAAATTGAAAAGATATTGCTGCTCGGTAACTATCCTCCGGAGATTATTAAGAACTTTATAAGGATCCATAAGAGAAGGTAAGTGGTGATATCAATAGCAGTTGTTAAGTACTTAAGTGAGAGTTCAAATCCCCTGAAACGCTATCTTAGAGCAAGAGTCGTTGGGCTCTTTATCCATGCTGGGATCAGGATGGCACTTCAGTCAGCAAAATCATCCAAAGAAGAGCTTTTTAGGCGGAGAGATTTTGGTAAATCTAATTCAGTAAATCACCCTATTCTGTTGAACAGCATAATTGTGAGGTTAACTCTGTAGGTCAAAATAGCCATTCGGGGTCAGTCAGGATAGTGGAGCACGAAAATCTAATGAAATGCAAAATGCTTGAACCTTCTAAGATATAAATCTTGAGGAGAAACTCGGCTGTCACTCTACATGTACCCATCCATAATCATACCAAGAAGTCAGACAAGGTCAGAATTCTAAAATCCATTGTAGTTAGATGGAAGGAAAGATCGATTGCAGAACCGCTGTTGATTGAATCAAAGCCTAACATATTCTCCTTTTTAGATAGGAATAGAGAGGAAATAACTAACGGGAGAGAATAATATGGTACCCTTTTGTTTCGCCAAGTTCTTGTCAGCTGCTTACAATCTAAAAACAGTTAGATATCATATTATAAAAGAACTACAACATACGTGTTTTCACTTACATGAAGTTAGTTAACAGGAAACGACATGATTTAACAAAGGATACAAACATTTTTATAAAGTTGACAAGACTCGCAACGAAGTTTCAGTCATATGCGTGTCTCAACAGAATTTGAGAAAAGAACATCAATACTCATAAAAGATTACACAGGAAGATTAACAAGTAGGCTACTTGATGATAAAAACAGACAAATTGTGTAGTAGTAAGGTAAGTTAGACTTAGTTGATAGAACGATATTCCAAATAAGGTATGAACAGAGGAAAGGTTCAGCCGAAAGTTGATGCCATCAAATAAGAGAAAGAGTGAAATATTAGGCTACCTGAGTAAAAACAAACTTATCATTGGTGCTTTTTGAACACATAATTCCGGTTTCATTTACTTGATCCATACAGTTTCAATGGACTTGAGAAGGCTTGGATCACACTGCTTGTTGATTACGTTGAAGGATTATAGGGCATTTATTTGGTACCGTATGTCAATGAGGTGTCGAGTGACTACACTACTGAAAGTAAATATTCCCCTGAGACCTGCAGTTTTTGATATATTTTCTAAGAATCTAAAGTATGCCCTCATCTCTCTGTGACTGCTACCACAGATGCTTGTAAACTTATAAACACATGTATCAGGAGTGACTAGAAACACATTGCAGATATTCAGAAGATTTTATTATCATGAAGATAAAAGAAAGAAAAACTATTGGACTATTCATAAAAGTGAAGTTTGAAAACTACATAACTTATTTATTATGAGCACTAGATCTTGCTTGAAACGTTATCCAGTAAATACCACCTTATCACTGTGTTTTAATATCAATAAACAGTTCAGTATAGAGTGCTTCTCTTTCCATCACTTATTTCTTCGTAATCTCAAAAGATTACAGCTAGGAATTTTCGCATTTTTCAAAGACTTCTTATATTGTCCTCTTCATCTATTCATCTTAAGGATAAAGCAAGTGAACATTTACAATAACTTTAAATGAAAAGTAATGGTTAATCCTGTATCAATCCTATCAGTTGTTTTTTCTTCATTTGGAGGAAATTTTGTCAATATCCGGTTTACATGAACAATTATTAAATAGCCACTCCATTGCATCATTCGGAACTATTTAACGCAAAACTCCAATATTCTGTCATTTCGCTTTATTAAATAGTATCATTTACACTACAAAAGAACCATCTATAATTATGACAGAAACGTAACTTGCCATTTCTAAACAGTCTGAGACATTTGCTTACGGGTCACATACTTGGAATAAACTTTAATTATTTTTTAAGCCTGCTATAATGGTTGACTCTACGGCAAAAAAATAAGCCGGAGAAATTCATAATTAAGCAGTTTAAGAGGGAAAAAAATCAGCATCTAACTCAGTAAAACCTTTGGAATTTTATACGATTCAACGATAAGCTTTTCTTTAAAGACAACCATATGAACAGCAATAAAGATGACTCCATTTTTTCAAGTATAATATTACATATGAAGTTGATACATGAAATGAAATTAACTATTTCTAACAGTGTTATGATGTTTAGTTGAGTTATTGGTCATTAAGGATATAATCTCAAACTGATGAACAAGCAAGCTATATACCTTTCTCACAATATTATATCATACCATAACAATATTGATTAAAATGTGCTTTCAGTTAACTACTTACCGATGAACCAACCATCTGTAATAAATACTTTACAACGCCAACTTTATGCATTGAAACACAATTATTCGGATCACGACTTAATTGAAATAAAGCTTTGGCTGTTGATCTATGAACATTTGGATCTGATGATTTCAAAAATTGAACGATTGGTGTGACAGCTCCAGCATGACCAAAATCAATACGATTTGTTCCCCAAGTACAACATTTTGCTATTGCATCAGTCAGTGGACATCGAAGACGTTCATCTCTCTGTAAATTTTACAAAATATACATGAATTAAAGTATATACCTATGTACTTTTCTTGTTGATAGTTACTACAGAAGTGTGCCTGAAATAGTGTAGAAACTCATATTCCCTCAGAAGGTTAAATCTGCATGATCCAGTAACAAAGTTAGAGATTTTACAGTTCATCCGTCTAAGCCCTAACTAACTTTCTATAATACTAGACTTTGTAGACCGGATGGTAATTTGAATGGAATGAACATGTCGAATCCTGATGAATTTTGATTTTCTTCATCACAATCGTGTTTAATAGTACTAATACTACTACTTGAAAGTAAACACAACAAGATACAATTGTTGTGGAATTTCACTGATTTCTAATGCTGCCTTTTAAAAATCTTAGAGTTTAGTCCCTCTTATTACCTAAAACGAACGAATTTCTTGATTAAAAACGTACATTTTATGCTTTCAGACAAATCGATTTACATCGTGTCGTATTCATCTTGATGACTAGCAGCAGACTCCAGGAAGCGCGTTTCGTCCTTCTTAGGACCCTTCATGCAAACTTAGTTAGAAATAAGCGTTTAATAATCCACGGATTTATAAATTTTTACAACTGGTTAACTCTTCTGTTACAGTTTATGCTAACACAGTCGTTACAATGTAATTTTCAAAATGAACTAATATTATTTGTAGCTCAAGATGAGGATATAATTTTTTGATGTTCTTTGAGCTTCGAGGTATGTTATGGGATGTTTCATCACCATATTCATCGGGTTCATCATGATTTACTTCAAATAAGAGTCTGTAGTTTGAATTCAAAATGATCTGGGACAGTTTTCTGCTATCAAGATCATTTTTTTCACTTTTACTTAAGTTGTATACATGTGCGTGTATTTAAAGTGAATATGCAGCCAAGAATTACCCTCTTGTTATATATTTTTAAGCACTCATGGTAGTTATACTACTGCAAAATTATCTGCGTGATAAGTAAATGGTTTTATTTGGGTAAAGAAATAAATTAAAATCAACTTCATTGATAGTTACCACTTCCAAATGGTAACAGTGCTCATTACAAGCGAATTACATCGAAATCCATAGAAAAGGACTTAAACTACAGCTGTTTAAGTAGTAGAACAGGTGTAATGAGCTAGAATTTTATAACAAAAGTTTCTAGATGATGAGTATTTTATAGTTTAAGTGTTAATAAAATTAATTACAAAAGTTGATATTTAATAATCCATATAGAATATTGGATGGCCTGCTTGAATCTTGGGCTACCAAAATTTCCCACTGAATATATATATCAAATCTTTTCCTTTCAATTTGTTTTAATTATTTAAACATATCCTCTGAACGTATCATGTACTCTTGCACATTTTTTAAAATGTTTCCAACTCGCCGTTTCTCAGGTTGATAACAAAACATAGAAAAAATGTCACATTGTATGGAAGTGGGCTTTTCAATATGCAAATATACATCATATTTCTATTTCTATTCGTGTACTGGCTGAATGAACAGTCACCAACAAACTTATGCTCGCTTTTCTATTGATTCTTTATTCTAAACCAGACTTTAATCAAACACAAAATGGCTGTTTCACATTAGTGTGTTGGATACTGTCATTATGAACATCATTAAGATGAAATAATCGTTTCGTCTGAAAATATCGTTCTAGGAGTGACTTTGTTGAAAAATCATATGCTGGGAATCATCCAATATATCATACATATTGTTCAAAATAAGGCGATTATATATATATATATATATATATATATATATATATATATATATATATATATATATATAGTACGTTAGTATATCTACTGAAGAAAAATATTCCTTCAGGAAATTTGTACTGTAAATCAACATATCAAGAAGAAACATTTATTACCGTATGCGTTAAACGTGATAATAATGGAACAACACCATGATCCGTAATTACAGCTAAATTCTCTTCATCCTCCGCAATCTTTGATACAGCAGCGCAAACAGCAGCCAAAACCTCTGGATCTTTCGATTTAAGCAAACTGACAATCAGTTCAAGTCCACCAACAAATGAACGTACTAATTCACCAGCATCCTATTATCATGGTGAATTACAGCAGACGAAAAAAGATGTTACAAAAAGTTAGATCTAATAAGGATGTTATTAATTAATTACTTGTTCAGGATAAAATGAAATTATTATGCAAGGGTCTGTGTTTAAATTATGATTTAACTCATGCATTTTTAGGTGAGTATGTAAAGTTAGTCAATGAGATTAGGAAACTACACTATCTGAGGTAGTTTAGGTACTTTTTTTACAAGTTTTATAGTCAGCTTACGCTACCGTTCAGTTCTTGATAGAATATCAGTAATAAGGTCAAGAATGTTCACACCTTGCAACAAATGATAAAGTTGATAACTGTTAATTTCAGCATTTTATGCCAGCGTAAGCCTTCAATATAAGATATCAAAGAGGTATTATAAATTTGAAGTTGAAAGCCATCGGCGACACGAGTAATACTTGACTGTAGTAAGGCAGATTTAATCATACCTACCTCTTTATATCCCACATGAACCATTTCTCTCTGACACTTCCCTCTGATTTTATATTGTAATACAAGTCTGGACATCTCTAGATGAGAAGATTACTATCTAGTATTTAGGTTGTCTGGTGAAAGATAGTAAACATCAAAAAATGATTGTGAGAAGATACTGGATTAGTGTGACTGGATGAGAATTAATATAATATATAGACTGGAAGGAAGCGCAAACGCATGATGAATATTCTTTTAGATCATTTCAAGCATTCAGATACTCAGTCGTATAATACAAAAAAACTAAACAGAAATCTGATTTTAGGGTTAATGAGATTTTTTTTTTTAGGGTAGCATTCATCATGGACCGACATCAGTAGGTGAATAATTAATGCATTTGCCGTGAAACCTGAAGGTTCTGAGCTTCCCTCCCCCTAAAACGTCGTGGGTGTGTACTGCTGAAGATTCTCATACTGTAACGAAAAAGCTGTCCACTATGCTTAGGTTTTCAATAGTTCTCCAAATGATGTCAATCTGTGATGAATACTACCTTAGATTAGCCCTAACATAACTTACGTTAACAATTAGCATCCACACTATTTTGAGGTACTTTCGTAGGTTTATACGCAAACCTGATACTACTAGGATATCCAAAAATGCTTCATCACTTCATCTATCCATCCGAAGATATTTTAATCCGATGGTTATTTCTTAAAACATATTTTACTTTAGAGTGAGAAATGACAACTAAAGAGAAATAAATTTTTCGGTGATTTCAGTGAGTACCTTGTTTCATTTACTTTAGATCGAAAAAGTATTTTGTCTAAATCCTTAGCCGAACACTATTCCATATCAGATTTGTTTATTTGACTTATAATACATAGTGATACAGTAGTATCTACTTGATGACGTTTCCAGCATAAATTATTAGCGCTCATAATCATATCAATATAATCACACTACTTTCAACCTGTTAATTTTTATAGTCCTATCACTTCTTATTCTTTGCTTTTATTGATAGTTGAGTATTCCATATTTCTGGCATAGGTTTTATGTTATTCTTATAACATGTGTTGGGTATTGATTTGATGAACAGAGATTAGGCAATCAATTTCTCTCTCCACTTAGTTACATTGAACTTCAGTATGCAATCCGATAACCAAGTATTCTTCGAGATTGTCTATCTTATTCAGGTATGTCGCTCAACATTTAGCTAGATTCCTAAGTTCCACTAATCTAACTGACACCGGCCGGCTAGTTTGACCTGTACACTTGACCTCGTAGCCATTACATGGAATCTGATAAGTTAAATTAATTTGCTTCATTGGTTCTATTAGATCCTTAAGCCAGGCGATGAGTGAGTCCGTAGACGTAAATGTGACCCTAATTCCAGCCTTGTTCAGGATCACCAATTATTAACGCTTTTCTTATGTGTTTCAGTTCCTTACACTGACTAGTTAGTTTTCTAGCTCTTCGTTTAGACATTCTACTACACCCACGTTAACTGACACTGGTTGAGATGGCCTGGATTCTAAATACCTGTCAAAATGTGTTGGTTACCTGTAGATGATGGTATCCCAACCACCGTTTGTCCTTCGTTTTATTTTGCAATCCGATATAGATAACTCTTCTTGTTCATTTTCTACCCCCTAAGGGAATCAGATTGTGCCTGTTACTTATATGGAATTACACTCTACTACTGCTTAAATTTTACACTTATATTACTGAACACAGTTCATCTACTAATCCTACAACTTATAAATGATAATGCATGAAATCTGTCAAAAATTGAAGAAGTAAATAATGAGGATAAAACGGAACCTATCAGGATTTCAGACAGTCTGGTAAGTTCATCTAAAATCTAGCAAAATAAAGGAAAGTTTTTATGAAAAAAATTTCTTTGAAACAACATAATTGACGAGGGAGTTTGAGATCGTTTAGGCACGTGCCAACACATTTCTGTTCACAAAATAACTGCCATAATTATTTATTGTGTTTTAGGTTGAAATTCATCATGGACTGACATCAGTTGGAGGAACATTAGAAACCTGGGGGCACTGGACAGCTGTTTCGTCCTAGTATAGGACTCCTCAGCAGTGCGCATCTAAAATCAGCTAATAACCCTCCACAAACCTCTAGATAGAATTAATCCAGCACTCATTGATAACTAGCTTCGAAGACGATTCCCGAAAATCCAATCAAAAGTCGTGACTAGTAAAGTCAACCAAGTCGAATATGAGAATAGTTACTCAGCGACAACATTAAATGAAAGTCGCACTATATCGTGAACTGACAGAAGTGGAAAATGTGAACCAGTGGATTCCGACCCAGTGGCTCAATGTTAATGTGCTGGCCACCAAACCTGAATGTCCTAGACTCGAGCTCTTGCGGGCGGAGTCATGGGTGCTCACTGCTGTGGAGTCTCACTGTAAGGCTAAACAGCTGTCCAATGTTGTCAGGTTTCCAAGTTGGGTTGAAGTATGCAGACGATATTGTTCTCCTGAGTAAAAATTATGACAAAATACAGGTAGGATCTTCTGGACCTGTTGAGCGGAAATCTGAATAGGTTTGGCATGCATTTCCTGCCTTTCATACGTAAAACGATGCTTCAGGACTGGTCTGCGACCATTACCAGTTTAATTAGGCAATGAAGTGATGAAATGTGTCAACCACTTCACTTACTTAAGGAGTTACATCAGTTTGAATGGGGTTGCTGCTGATGAAAGGGCCTACTGGCATTTGTCAGCTTGCATCACCCGTGGTGCCGGCGAAATATTTGACCATCTATCAACGGACGAGTATCCTGTCCTGTAGTTTGATGTGTCTTGTTGCACGGCTGTGAGACATTACCATTAAAGCTAGAAGACATGAAACAATTACAAGGTTTGGGACATTGGTGTTTCCATAGCATTGCTCGTGTTTGGTGGAATCATCATGTGACTAGTGTTGAGGTCAGGTGAAAGGGGTTCGACAAAAAAGGCAAGTTATTCGATGAGGTTTTGAATCCTAGTCGACTGAGATGGCTTAGATACCTACTGCACATGCCAAACCATCACCTACCTTTATGTGTCTTGATAAGTGAAGCTTGATTACAGTGGAAGAGGGTTCAAAGTGGCCGGATCAAGAAGTGGCACCAGTCTGTGAAGTCTCTGACTGTTGGTCTGAGTTGTGTGGAGAGATTGTAGACTGTCTCGCTGGTATAACCAAAACTATAAGAATCAGTGGTTGAGGACTCTTGATGATATGGCTCAGGAACGATCACAATTGCATAGATGTATTCACTCCATGACATCTTCTAAGGCTTGAATATTCGTACTATCCATTATCCTCAGATAGTTTATTCCATCACCCAACTTCATCTACTTTGATATCACTTGTTTTCTATTCACCTCTTGTGTGTATGCTAAAGTGATGTGTGGCAACTTGAGCTGATGTACTTTTGTGTGAGGTTCTACTTCAATTCTATCCATCTGTTTCTTTTTGACATTATATGTCTGACAACATCTTCAGACGCTTGTGACTGTCAAGTATGCATGTTCTGCAGCTTCTTCAATTATTTGATAAACAAAATGTTACTCAAAGAATACGTTTATGTGAAATCTGTTTGGTAGACATGAATTTTTGTAAGAGAATTACAATTTCCTAAACTGTGGTAATTTAAATTTGTCGATATGCTCTGATTACCACGATGCTATTCATTAGGTGACTAATTTATGAAGTTTTGTGCTTACTTAAATACCTTTTCAAATGTTGAAAGTAGTTGGAAGTCTAATGCTTAGGAACTTTTCCGGATATCTACTGTTTTAATTAATAGTATATCAGATGGTTACACTTGAGAGCTTTTTTCTGAGAATCGATATTCTCTCCTTTGCATAAAACTTTAATATGTAATTAAATTTCACACTGAATAAACAAGAACTTTGGTTGGTTGGAAATGAAATGAAAAAGTTCACTTTCCTTGATATGTATGTCGAAAACATGAGAAGTAGGATATTTGCATCACGTAACCAAGAATGTCAACTAAAATCGATCCAAAGATTTTTTTAATCCTTTTGAGTATTTCTAGTAGCTTTTTAAATGAATTTCCAGAATAAACTGGCGAGTGTAATAGATGATAAGCGAAGACGAACTTATGTATAGCAAGATATTAGGTCTTGTTGTTAACTACCTACTATAATAATATGGCCATGTATAAATAAAGTACTCAAATGATGACGCCTGTTGGTGTAAAATATTCTGAAATGACACTGGTAAACATTTCTACCGGATGTAATAGGCTATATCCGTTCAGAAGTAAGTCTACTGTTGTTATCTTTATGCCATCTGAGGATTCATGAATTTGAAATACTTTATACTAATAAGTCAGCTAAACGTTCATGTAAATAAATAGAGTACGATAGAAGATAGGATGATGTATTCTTTGTTTACTATCTCAGTTAATTTTTACAAGATTTATAATATTTTTTATTTCAGATGCCACAAATAGCTGGCCCAAATCTGTAATTTGAGAACATATACTATGATGAAATGAAAAGCTTAAGGTTCATCTTGATTGAATAAGCTAAACGTTGATAAAAACATTTAGTTATGTTAACGATCACACGTTTGTTTCCGGAGTAGGGAGAGATTTTCCCTGAAATGAGTAGAGAACATGGTTAACATTTAGTTTTTTTCTGGCTGGCCTGAATTTCTCTACTGAGACAAATATACCATATATAACTTCTTAGTCCTATTCAATTCAAGGATTAAAATAAATTTTATGTTAGAATTCATTATGTATTGCCATCAGTTGGAGGAGCATTAGAAACCTGGGAGCACTGAACAACTGTTTCATCCCAGTATGGAACTCCTCAGCAGTGCACACCTACGATACTGCCAGGGGTCGAACTCAGGACTTTGAGGTTCCGTGGGCAGCACGTTACCATTGAGCCACTGGGTGGGAAACCAGTACTTTGAAAGTCCTGTGTTTGATCACTGGTGGGCGGGATCATAGGTGCGCACTGCTGAGAAGTCCCATACTAGAATATAACGGCTGTCCAGTTCTCTCAGGTTTCCAATGTCCCTCTAACTGTTGTCAGTCCACCACAGCCTAAAATCAATAAATAAATCTTCGCAAACCTCTAGATAGAATAAAAGTAAATTTTTCGGACTACTTGGGATTTAATAATATTTATTCTGTACTGGGTGATGACTGAAGGTGAAATGAAAATTTGGACCGCGGCAGTATTTGAATCCAGTGGTCGCTGGTTCGAATCTGTCAGTGGTCCAAATTTTCATTTCACCGCCAATCATCACCCAGTATTAACACTAGTCTGCTAAACTACGGTTATCTTAGATAGTCGGATGATAATGTTCATTCTTTTTCTACTTATCAAATCCAATCGAATTTATTATCACACAATAAAACTACTGATTCGCAAATTATCATGATAATTGAACGGATAATCTTAACGGATACAACATTAATAGTAGTGAAAACACCAACCTTGGCATTCTGAATACACGGACATAACGCCCAAGCAGCGTATGATTGAACTTTTGGATTTGAATTCTTTAACAATGACCACAGTAGACGTACACCATCTAAACTTTCAATAATACTAAAGGAAGGAAAGAACAATATTGTGATAACCCTCCACTTTGTTAATAAAGACGAATAGTAATGCAAATAGATAACTCCGAATGGAACAAGCTACAGAATAAAGTAATGCCAACATTTTTATATAACATTTGCAAACAAATTAAACATACTATCCCTAAATGTATCCTTTTCCACCAAAATTATACTTTCTCATTTCACTAATAGACTACTGCATAAACAGGTGATTTATTACAGCGTATATCTGACTTCAGACAAAACACTAGAATTATTCTTATCATTTCCACTTTTTTCTAAAATGTTAAGTATCATGCTTTTGTATCTTAGGCCAGGTTACCATATTGTTATTATTGATATTTGTCCCTTAAGTTCCTAGTGGAACGTAGGGCTTCACTAGCATACCTCCATTCCACTCTCTTCTCTGCAACCTTTTAAACCTGGCTCCACGACAGCCCACAAGCTCTCAATTCCTCCTCACACAATCTCCTCCATGTAACCCTCACCACCGACGCCCAACTCGTCGCTTCCCATCGGGGTTCCACTCGAGAGCCTGATCTGGTGCGTGATGTCCCCAGTCGTCCTTCTCGGTGTATGCTCAATCCATCTCCACTTCCTTCCAGTGCATATTTGTTGGGTGATAGGTTCTTGGTTGATTTGTTCCCAGAGTTTCTTGTTGCTTATTCTTTCTGGCCATCTGATCTTCAGTAACGAGCGTAGACAGTTGTTGATGAATATCTGTAGTTTGTTGGAAATGCCTTTCGTAACGCGTCAAGTCTCTGAACCATCACATAAAAGCACTGAATTGACTGACATTGATAGTCAAAATCCGGATCTTGTTCTTTATGCTGAGTGCAGATCTCCACACGAGTTTCAGATCATTGAACGTCTGTCTTGCTTTTCCGATCCTGGTTTTGACGTTTTCGTCTGTTCCGCCTGTAGTTGAAACGATGTTACCTGCGTATATGAAAGAGGCTACTTCCTTTAGGTTGTTGTTGTTGGTGGTGTTGGTTGGGCATCATCAACACCTCTGTCTTCTCTACACTCACTTAAAGTCCCGTCTTCGCTACCACGCCTCTTCTGTCAACTTGTTAGTTTTCGCCTGCAGATCTTCGAGTTTGTGCGACATTAAACATAAATCATCGGGAAGATGCGAATCTTCGAGGCCCTTTTCATCGGTTCAGCCATTGTATGCCCATCTTCACGCTCCTGACGGTTTTTCACATGATCCTGTCGAGTTGTCCACAATCAGGAAGATCGTGGGTTACAGTAGGCGGTAGCCTTGTCTTTCTCCTTTCTTCACTTCAAAGGCATCACTGAGCTTCCCATTGTGAATCACTTGGCATCTAGCCTCTTCATATAGTTGTCGAATGAGGTTGATAAAGGTTTGTAGCATTTTGTAGTTTTTAAGCAGCTGCCAAATTACTTGTCGGTCGAGGCTGGCGAAGGTCTTTTCAAAGTCGAGATAGAGAGTTAACTGCTATTCTATGCTCTGTTATATGATGATGCTTGACGTATCGTTGCAATTTGGTCCGCATATGATTTGTACTTCCTGAATCCAGCCAGCCTGTTCCGGCCGTAGTTTTGAATCCAGCGCCTCCTTTAGCCTCTCTAGGATAATGCGGCTTAATATTTTGCTTTCGGTGGACAGGAGAGTGATTCTGCGCCAGTTCTTGCAACGACTTAGTACATGTCGCCCTTCTTTGGGAGTATGACAAGGTAGCCCTTCTTACAATCAATGGGCAGGTACCTTCTCTTCCTTCCACACCTTCTGCAATAGTGGTGTGGTGTGAGCATGTCCGCTGTTGTCTCTGCGTCCGTTCTTAGTGCTTCTAGCGGGATCCCATCTGGTCCTGCTGCTTTCCCGCATTTCAGTAGCTTTATGGCTTTGCGTTCAGGACTTCGACTTTGGCCGGAGGGCTTGTGTTCACTTGTAGTTCTGTGATTGCTGGTGTTATTTTTGGATGAGTTGCAGGTAGTGATGGTGATGGTCGATTCAAGATCTTTTTGAAGTGATCAGCTCATGGTTTCCTTTGTTTCTCTTCTTTGGTAATTAGATTTCCTTCATCAGGTTACGATAACAGGTTAAGATACCTACTTTAATAGTGTAACAGTGGATTGTTTTTTATTCATAGTTATTTACTTGATTGCTTAGAATGCTTTGGATTGGATTAATGACGATTTCGGTCAAAATAACTTTCTCCTTATGTAAATGTAAAAATGCTTTTAAAAATAAATGGATTATAAGTGTATTGGTTATTCCCGTATATAAGTAGCCTACTTGCTGGAGTTATTAAATTTCCTATCAAATAGGAGGAAAAAGGCACCCTCGATTCCACTGTGAGTCACCAAGATGACTATAACATCATAAATATCTGATTGTACCAAGGCATCCACATAGGAGCGTGTTCATCAAGATAGGCCGAGTAATTTAACCTTCTATAGCAACGTGAAATTACAAGTATCAAACGAAAACAGCAACAACAACTGACATCAGTTGCACAAGAGATGAATCTTGTGCCGTAGTTGACCAGTGGATAATGCTTTGGTGTTTGACTCGATGCGTATGAGGCCCAGCTCTCAGTAGGAGCAACGTCATTAACTTGAGTGCAGGTCAATCCAGCTGTCGAGTCCCAAGTAGGATTAAAAAAGCGTCCTAAATTCCTCTGCTAGTCAGTAAGAGGAATAGTTTCTTATCGATTTATATAAACATAAATAAGAAAAATGTTTGGTGCATGAGCATGTTGATTAGGGAGACTTCAATCAATCTTGATGATATATTACAAGCCATTATTTAATGCTCTTTGCGCGGATAACTTTCAAGTTTATTCTTTCAACGGAATATACTATTTGGGTCAATTTCTTTTGCTTCTTCCATACTATTACACAAAATTTATCGTTTCTCTCTTCGGTGTCTTCAACAGTTGGTCATCAGCTGTTGTCACTTCAAAAGATGACGTCACATCACATACTACTTATACGCATTTTTATGAGTAGTACGAATTAAAAGACATTTTGAAATCTTTAGATAACAAAGAAGCATAGCATTTATCAAGGTACTTTTATATGAATCTTTAAAATGAATAAAAAGGATGGGGGGATTCCAAAAGATACGTATACAGAAAGTTTTACTTCAAATATTGATATATTTATATGTTCCATGTAAACTTTACGAATCCCACAGTTTTTCGAACTATCTCCCAGAACACATAAACAACAAGCATTGAATGATTTAAAGATTGACTTTGGTAACCAATGGAATAATCAGCTACGTTTCATAACAAAAAAGGAAACCTCATTGATTGTTCTAGTAGTTGCTACAGTGGCCTTTGGGTTAACTCAGAAATTTGATTTAACAAAGGATAGCTTCAGATACTTCATAACAGTCCAGGACACACGTTATAGATTCCACTGCTAGTCGCCATCCATCCTTAATATGAAGGATTTGAAATATAGGCAATATCGAGTGATCCACATGAAGGCCTATTAGTCAGCAGTGGCCGATCAATTCGGTCCAATCAACCATAGAGACATCCAAAAGAACTGCTTTTGATATGCAGCTGTATTGACTAATCTATTTTGTCCATTTATTTCATAGCATAATCCTACTTAAACCAAACTTATTTCTTTGTCTGATTACTCAATTGTCAGGAGTTTGCATAGCAAAAGTTATTTTATCAAGATGAATTTGATGAAAAATTAGACATTTACAGGTGATTCTTTAGTTTTATTGAGTCATTTACACCAACCAGTTGGGAAGAAATATTTACGATTAAAATGATAGCAACTCTAAAAGTCATTTACGGCGGGGGGGGGGAACAATAAGAAACAAAGTGAAATACATCTTCTAAACAAATAATGTTCGCAGAACAAAACAATTGGAGCAAAGAATCAAATAGCAGGCACGGCCAGTTCAAGAATGTAACCTGACTGCCATGGTGCATTGATTAGGATGACGTCTAGAAGCAATCAGTTATAATATAGAATATGTAACATACAGGTTTAAGAACACAAAATACAGATCCTTAAAACATTTTGAAAGTCACAGTGCTATTATAGAGTAAATGGAATTCATTCCTAGACGCCATTTGGAACAATAGAATTTCAGGTAATCTATGATCATTTCTGATCGCCATTCAAGCGATAAATGACGTTCAGTAGTAAGTTTCATCCGGTTTATAGCAAATAATTCTCGATACATTTAAAAAAAAACAAGTCAGGTATCCGACTCTCCCCCCAGTACTCGAATATAAATAAACTTCAAGGAAAATAAATAAATGAAACTCTCAAGTATTACATCACTGTTATTACGGTGACTAATGAAATGTAGGTTTGTAAAAATAGAAACAACCTGTCAAGCATACCCACCAACATATGAAAGACGAACAAAAATTTCAGTGAAGAATCCCTCTTCGATGACTTCATTTCCAGAGCTGTACAATCCCAAATTTAAACATTTCTCTAGTATCAGCATTTCATAATCAAAAACGATTTGTTATAAATAGTAGGACAATCACAATATTGTTATCATTTATTGTTTTCCCCCTGGGTTCCCAGTCAAACATAGGGACTCAGTAGCACGCCTCCATTCCACTCCCCTCACTGCAGTCTCCTCAACCAGACACCAAAACTGCCCAAAAGCATTCATTTCTTCCTCACATGATCTCCTCCATGTCACCATCACCTCGGAAGCCCAAATCGCCGTTTCCCCTTTGCATTCCACAAAACGATCTGGCGTGTGACGTCCCCTGTCGGCCTTCTCAGTGTATGCCCAGTCCTGTCCATCTCCACTTTCTTCTGCACATTTATTGAGCGATAGGTTCTTGGTTGGTTCATTCCCAGCCAGCCAGACAGCCAGACAGCCAGACAGACAGCCAGCCAGCCAGACAGCCAGCCAGACAGAGAGACAGACAGACAGACAGACGGCCAGAATTCCTCCTTGCTTATTCCTACTCTTCTTCTGGCCATCCATCTAATCTTCAGTATCCAGTAGGCGTAGGCGGC